CATTTCACCTATCCCTTTTGTGTGCAGGGCTGTGGGTGAATCTGTCCCTGTTCCCAGTCATGGCCGGCCTGGGCCTCTGCACAGCCACCGAGATCAGCTTCAACATGCTCGGCTTCTCCGCTGCTCTCTCCACCAACATCATGGACTGGTACTGGAGCACACAGCACAGCTTTTCCACCAGCGGTGTATTCCCTACTTTGCCCTAACTCTTGTCTCTCTGATCTCAGCTTACAGAATGTATTCTCCAAAAAACTGCTAAGTGGAGACACATACAAATTCAGGTAAAATCATGCTTTAATTTAAACGGGTAGTCTCACTGAGAGCGAGGTCTGCCTTTCAAGAGAGACCTGTGTACAAAAAGCACATACATACAAATAGAGACAAACGGCACATTGTACATGATCATAACTGAAGAAAAACAAGTGCAAAATGGATAATTAAACCCTTTAAAAGACTTCAGTGAAAGCATTTAATGCAGCTTTTTGACTCTAAGCTGTAAAAGGCTGATGGGGTAAACACACAGCTCTTTTTTTTTTTTTTTTTTTTTTAAACTTGGTTGTGTTATTTCAGCCCTCCCGAGCTGCAGTTCTACACCAGTGCGGCAGCAGTCATCATGCTCATACCTGCCTGGCTGTTCCTTTTGGTGAGGCAAAACAGAAGTTCTTAATTTCCAGACTTGTTAGGCCCTACAATGCTTAAGAAAACAAGCGGGTAACTTTCTTGATGGTTCTGTTTAATTTCCAGGATATCCCCACGGTTGGGAAGAGCGGACAGAGCTTGATCTTTAGTCAGGACATCATCCTGTTGCTGCTTTTCGATGGTTGCCTGTTCCACCTGCAGAGCGTCACTGCCTATGCGCTCATGGGAAGGATTTCTCCTGTTACTTTCAGGTAGGACACAAAGTCAGAAGCACTTTATCCTGCATGCCATGAGTTTCTTGGAGGCCATAGTTCCTGCTACAGTTAATTAATTGATGTATTTGAACCGCCCACGCTTAGCTTAGTAGATAACCACTTGTTGCATTTGCAGATTTTCAAGTTACACCAGTATCATCTTATCATCTCATCATCTCACCGGCACTGACTAAAGTCTGTTCTCTGCTGTACTAGTACAGTACAGCACAGCATCGATTTGCACCTCAGTGCTGTCTATTTACAATAGACAAACCAATCCATTAGTGAGCGTATCTGAATCCACAAAGTCCAGCGTGTTTGGCTCCCTATCCCACCTGACAGATGGGATGTGTGCTGCAGATTCCAAAATAGCTTCAGTGAAACCACAAAATGCTTAAACTTTAGTGTTCTTGTGCAGAGCACGGTAGAGACAGCAGCAGAGATGCTGAGGCGGAGCGTGCCCAGTATGGGAATGCTCTTAATGAGCTCGTGCACATATCACTGTATATTTCCCAATATAGACCTTTTAGATTCTATAGCTGGAAGTTATTAAAGGGGGCCTACTATGCCCATTTCCAGCTCCATATATTTTTCCTTGGGCTTGAGTTGATTATTTTGTATATGCTTCACTGTTTATAGTGGGTCTTTGTGCAGGTATTTTAGTTCCATCTCTCTAAGGCGTCCCCTGATTTAGCCCTTTTCTTTTGATTGGTTGTGCCCCACTAACAGCAGCTTGGTGAGGCTTGGAGAACATGTTAGGGATCGCTCCTTTCTTTGACATCACACAGAGCCGAAAGAAGAAAAAAAAATGAGAGAAGGAGCTTTTAAAGCAGTCTGATATGTCATGAAGATAACTTATATGTACGCTGAAATTAAGATTGGAGACTGTTTAATCTGAGAATTCACCGTTCTAACATTTATATGCAGATCATAAGGATGAACATATAAAAGTCATATTAAGAAGTTTAAACTGGATGAATTTGTTGTTAGCCCCAGTAATAATCATCCTCATTCTTCCTCAGTGTTGCCAGTACTGTTAAGCACGCCCTGTCTGTGTGGCTGAGCATCATTGTGTTCAGCAACCAGGTAACCATCCTCAGCGCCACCGGGACCGTCCTCGTGTTCATCGGGGTCTTCTTGTACAACAAAGCCAGGCAGTTCCAAAGAGCAACCTTACAGGCCATGGCTGCTGAGCAGAACCACAAACCCCTTCTCCACGACCAGGACTTCAAAGCCTCTCAGTCTCACTGAGTAGCCCGCTCTTAAAGCTGTAGTGCTGCCTGAAATGAACTGGAAGCATCAATAGTTCACTCCCGTTCAAGAGCTTCTGTCTTTCAGGGTTCCTTCAGTGTCACTGTTAAAGTAAACCATTTGATGGCTTGATGAGCTGTGGGTGTGTGACCGAGCAGTCAGCCATCAGTCATCCTGTGGAACATTCTCACCAGTATTTCTTTGTACCTGACCGGATTACCACTTTAAGCCTTTTTGATCCTTTCTTTGTCTTTTATTGGTCAGTAAAAGGAAGCTCAGGGTGTTTTTCCTACATTTGCATTCCATTACAGGCTAGTTTATCTCTCATCTGTGGTATAGCAGCTACTAAACGCATGGGAACTGCAAAGCTCGGACACTGTAAGATTAAAAATTTTGTAGTAATGTTAATCTTCATTGTATAATCCAGTGTAAAATGTATCTTAATAGCGTCTGAGTGTAGGGCTCCAGTGCCCGAGGTAGGAGGCCTTTTTTGAGGCTTGTCCAGCCAAAGCTTAAGACTGCTTTACACGTTAGTAATCCATGTGTAAAACACTTGGATGCCACATTATTGCATTCTGAGAATGCTCATCCTCTATAACGTTATAGCTTTTTTCACTTTTTTTGTTTTGTGTACACATAAAGCTGACATGACCACTGATCCACGCTGGGACGGCAGCCCTGTTAATCTAATCAGGAAAAGAGGACTGAAAGAAGGAATAAATGGACAAGCTGCTGTTTTTATACATTTATAACCTTTTTAAAAAACAGTTTATTACAACTTGAGTTTTATTTCTGTAGTTCTTGCCAGTGGCTATCAAGCTTTGTGTCTAGCAGTGCGCCAGCTGTATTTTTATTTAAATTTTTTTTAAATAAACTGTAAAATCAGCACTTGAGGCGTTACTGTGAGTGTAACTATGTTCCTTTGATCACTTGGTTAACAGATGTTTATGCATCTTGTTATTTTTGGTGAGTTGTTAAACAGAAATGAATTTTAAACTGAAATAAATGAAACACTACTTAATAAAAGAACCACAGCTGCGGTAGTTTTCCAGAACCTCTTCGGTGGGCACCATATTTTGTGTGCCTGCTAATCATCTGCCGTAAACATGGCAAACTTCCTGGTTCGGCTCTGCTTGCTGCAGTTGTAAACACTCGGTTCTCTTATGTGGTGACAGAAACTTGTAAATGCTCACTTTTGATTGTTCCTCAAACTAAAGGAATTATTTACCATATGTGGAAAACAGCTGATGCTTTCCAGGCGTTCTGTTTTTCTTTGTGGATCTTTTCCTGTAGAACTTACTCCACATTTTGCATTTCTAGCATTTAAAAACCCCACAAACAACAAAAATAAAACCCAAGTTGCAGTAAAAACAAAAGTCATCCTGTGCTTGTCACTACAAATTTACACAATCTCAGTTCCTCCTTCTGTCCTCGCTACTTCTAATTTCAGCATCCGACCTGAAAGTGGAAGTTCCTCCACCCGTATGTAGAAAGTCGTTCTGACCGTACCCAGGACATGTCTGTCTTATTCAGTTCCAGTTTGACCGTTCTTGCTGTGCCTCGAGAAGCAGCTTTTCTTCTTCTCTTACATGTTTGTGGCCACAGTTTAACCACAAGAGCTAACTGACTTGAACTTTTTGTCTTTACATTGAAAACCTTTTTTTTTTTTTTCTCCCGTGTGGGCTCTGATTGAACATTCAGACGTTAAGAATTGATCTTTTTATACTAACCTTCCACTTTGAGTCTTTGAAATGCTGCTTCAGGAGGCAATTTTCAACATGCAGATGCTTTTTTTTCAGGCTGTTGACCAGGTTCAAAGTGTTGAGGTAATGATGAGCTGTGTTTGGAACTGTGCAAATCAAAGGTGTAAAATATTTTGCAGAGGATGTAAAAATGTTTGATGGACACTGTGCAGAAGATTAAAGTATTTTCTTTCACTATGCCGCCTGTTTAATAGTATCATGTGCTGTTAATTTACACACAGTGTACACGTATCCTGATTATGGTAATGCACTCACCAGCCACTTTATTAGGAACGCCCAACTACTTTGAGTGGATAGGCAGGCTGCAGTAACTCTAATAATTTAAAACCAATGTATGCAGAAGAGCATCTTTGAATGCACAACAGGTCTAACGTTGAAGTAGATGGGCTACAGAAGCAGAAGACCATAGTTGGGGCCACTCCTGGCTACAATTTGCACTTGCTCACCAAATCTGGACGTTAGAAAACTGGAAAAACATTGCTGAGATTACTGCAACATTCGGATGACAGATCCAGAATTAGGCATGAACACAGAAGCTTGAGTATTGCTGACCATGTCCATCCCTTTATGACCACAGCGTACCCTTCTTTTGATGGTTGCTTCCAGCAGGATAAAGCAATATCACAGTCTCAAACTGGTTTCTTAAACACGATGAGTTCACTGCACTTAAATGGTCTCCATAGTTACCAGATCTCAATCCAACAGAGCACCTTTGAGATGTGGGGAAACGGGAGATTGAAATCAGGGATGTGCAGGTGCGTGATGCTATCACATCAATCTGGAACAAAATCCCTTAGAGTTTCCAGGTCGTTGCCCAATCGATATGTTTCCGGTATGTAAAGTGTATCCACTTTTTGCACGTGTGCACAAGATTTCTTCTTGATAGTTATTTTAACACTGAGAAATATGTTGACAGAGCACTAAAGCATCGTCTCCTAAAGTAATAATTAAATCTTTCCTCGCCAATATTTACTTTTCTTGCCATAGCCTTTTCTGCTCTCGGGCCAATCCTTGAAGCACTGTACTTGTGGACTCAATGTTTTATACAACATCTGTCACTCACCCAAAAAACAAACTCAAAAGGTCTTTTTTATGGAGTCATTTCAAGTCATCACTTTTATTGTGATATGCTGTTAATGCAGAAATGTTGACTGTAGCAGTTTTGATCTAAAGTGTGTATACTCGTGTAGCAGGAGGCTCACTGGCAGCAGCTAATCTTTCCTCACCAGTAGGTTGAATTTAAAGTGTTCCCAGGTTTCTGATGCTTTGACTTATTCTACAGGCAGTTTAAAAACAGCATTTAGTAACTGAGAACACTCTTTATACTGAAATCGTCTCAAAGATATTTTATCCTTGAAGTCAGTGTCTCCATCCCTTTACTGTGAAGAGTGACTGGCTCGTGGTGGATAAAAAATCTTCATCAGGCTCTCGTAGCTGAGGAATGTGACAGCGTTGACCGGAAATGCTCTCAGGCTGTTCAGCAGGAGGCCTTTGAAAAACACCCTCACTCCTTCTTCCCTCACGCTCACTCTCATGCAGTGCAGGACGCCGCCGTACTCCCGCCCGCCGGCCCCCGACATCTGGAGCCGAGCTTTCACGACGTCCATGGGCGTGGCGAAGGACCAGGTCACCACACCTGCGAATCCACCTGCCACCAATATCACAAAGGTGCCTGAGGACAGAGAGGCAGAACTAAGACAATACTGAGGAGTTTTCTAAACGAATAGTTTTCATTAAACTATTTGCCAAAAAATGTGCCAACGGTTTTCAAAGCTGTTGCATCTTCAAAAAATAAAAATACAATAACTGAGCCTTACACCGGGGTATCGTTGCACTGGTTTACTGAACCTTACTTTCAGGGCATGTACAGAACATGAGCATCCATTTTCTACTGCCTCCTACAGGACTCACTCTTCTTCCACTTCCTTACACATTAATGTAACACAGAACTAATACTGCCTCTCCTGGCATTACCATTGTAACAACACATTCATTCTGTTTCTTTCAGAAGATTAACAGGAACTTAGGATGTAGGTATCTATGAATAATAACTATTATGTATACTCATATATTTATATAACCACTTATTTCTTGCGATACCACATCTCCTCCCCCCTTAAGTCAACAACTCCCTTGACTTACAAAATAACTGTTTATCTAAAGAATGCTTAACAAACAATCAACATGTAATTAAGGTAACCATACAACCATACAACTGTACATAGGTTTCCATGTTTCTCTTTTTTTTTTTTCTAACTAGGAAGGTACGTCCTTCCTGTGAGATCAGAGCGCATTGTTGCTCTATTTCTGGAAGATCTCACACTACCTAACAAAGTCCTTTAAAGTCTCTGGTGGACGTCTCTCTCTCTGGGAACGTCGCAACACGGGTGTCCCTGAGGAGTCTCCGGGAGCTGGAGTCTCCGGAGCATAAGGCAACTCCATTGCCGGAGGTTGTGGCGATGTGTCCAACTCTGATGGCCAGCAGCACTCAGGCACTGATTCTTTGTCAAGCAATGGCTCCACCTCCCTGTCTGGTGTACTGGGAACAGTGTCAGCCACTCTTGCTCTCACCTGATCCACATGCCGCTTCACAGTTTGACCTGATCCAATGGTAACAATGTAAGACACTGGACCCGATGCTCTCACAATGACTGCGGGAATCCACTTCGGGCCATAGGAGTAGTTTCTGATGAAGACCTTGTCTCCTGGTGTGAAACTTCTCAGTCTTTTCTTGGTGTCATGATTTTCTTTCTGTTTCGATTGTTTGTGCTGCACTTTTGTTTTCACATCAGGCATGAGCAAGTCCAAAACTGATCTGAGTCTTCGTGACATCATCAACTCTGCAAGTGATAAACCAGTAGTGGCATGCGGTGTGATGCGATAACTGAACAGAAATCGGGACAGTCTGGTTTGCAAGGTATCACCTTTGACTTTCTTCATCCCCTCCTTAAAGGTCTGGACCGCCCTCTCAGCCAGCCCATTTGAAGAAGGGTGGAAAGGTGCTGATCTTACATGGTCAATTCCATTCTGCTTCATGAATGACTCAAATTCAGCACTTGTGAAGCATGTTCCGTTGTCTGAAACTAACATTTTAGGTAGTCCAAACACACTGAAACTCTGGCGCAGTTTCTCTATAGTTACCTGTGATGTAGAGGATTTCACAGGGTAAATGTCCATCCACTTGGAATGAGCATCCACAATGATTAGAAACATCTCCCCGAGGAAAGGCCCTGCATAGTCCACATGGATTCTGGACCATGGTGACTCCGGCCACTCCCAAGGGTGTAATGGTGCAGTAGGTGGTGACTTGGAGTGTTTCTGACACTCCTCACATGCCTGCACTTCTCTTTCAATGTTCTCATCCATCCCTGGCCACCATACATACGACCTTGCCAAGCCTTTCATCTTCGACATGCCTGTATGAGTCTGGTGCAGGAGTTTCAATATTTTGTCTCGGCCTTTGGTGGGAATAATTACTCGGGCTCCCCAGAACACGCAACCATCCCTCACACTCAGTTCCAGCTTTCTCTGTCGATACGGCTTTAAACAGGTGTCGGTCTCAGTTGGCCAGGCTTTTAAGGTGTACTCGTGGACTTGCGACAACAAGACATCCTTAGCTGTCCATCGTTTGATCTGTGCAGTGTCCACTAATGTGTCATCCAGTACATCCATCATCAAAACCTGCTCAGCCATCTCTCGCTCAGGTGCTGAGTCTGGTACCGGCAACCGGCTGAGCGCATCCGCGTTTTCATGATGTTTTCCTGGCTTGTACCTGATGTTGTACTCGTAAGCACTCAATGTCACGGCCCATCTTTGTACTCTTGGTGAGCCCATCTGAGGTATAGGCTTCTTTTCATTGAACAGTGAGATTAGGGGTTTATGATCTGTGTAAATCGTGAAAACTCGGCCATACAAGTATTTGTGAAATTTCTTGATGCCAAATATCACAGCTAGACCTTCTTTGTCAAGCTGAGAATACTTTTTCTCAGCAGGAGAGAGTGTGCGTGACATGAACCCCAAAGGTCTCTCGCTTCCATCCTCCATCTTATGTGACAATACGGCGCCTACGCCATATGGGGATGCATCACATGAGAGAACCAACTCACGGTCAGCAGAATAATGAACTAACACCTCTGCTGAGTTCAACAGGTTCTTAGATTTCTGGAATGCTTCCTCTTGTCTCTTTTGCCATGTCCACCGTACCTCGTGTCTCAAAAGTTCATGTAAGGGTGCCAACCGGGTTGCCAGGTTTGGAAGGAATTTGTTGTAGTAATTTAGCAAACCTAAGTATGCTTTCAGTTCAGTGACATTTGTGGGGGTAGGTGCGTCCATGATTGCTTTAACTTTCTTTTCCACTGGGTGGAGCCCCTGGGCGTCCACTATGTGCCCCAAGTACTCCACTTTCTCTTGCATGAAGGCACACTTGCACCTCTTTAACCTCAACCCAGCTTCCTCCAACCGGGTCAACACCTCATCCAGGTTCTGTAGATGGCTTACTTCATCCACTCCAGTCACTAAGATGTCATCTAAATACACTGCTACATGAGGTATCCCCTTCAAAAGACTTTCCATGGTCCTCTGGAATATTGCTGGAGCAGAGGCCACTCCAAAAGGCAATCTGTTATACGTGAACAGCCCCCGCGATGTGTTTACTGTCACGTACTTTTTCGATTCGTCATCCAAGAGGATTTGCTGGTAAGCGTGGCTCATGTCTAATTTTGAGAACTGCTTACCCCCGGACAGTGTGGCAAACAAGTCCTCCATTCTGGGTATGGGGTACTGCTCCAGTGAAGCCACGGTATTTACAGTAAGCTTGTAATCCCCACACAGTCTTATTGTCCCTGTGGGCTTCAGGAGTGGCACTACTGGTGCCGCCCATTCAGCATATTTCACTGGCGAGATGATGCCTTCTTTCAACAGTCGGTCTATTTCCTCGTCGACTTTTGCTCGCATAGCAAAGGGGACAGAACGCGGACGGAAGAAGCGTGGGGTGGCATCACTTTTCACATGAATAGCAGCTTTCATTCCTTTCAGGGTGCCCAACTCCTCTTTGAACACATTTTCATGTTTACTTAACACTTGCTGAAGTGTTTTCTCTGTTGTTTTGACTTGGTGCAGCTTTCTGTTGTTAGGACTGTTTTTCACTTCACCCCAGTCCAATTTAATTTCCTCGAGCCAAGCTCGACCTAGCAAGCTGGGGCCGTCGCCTTCGACCACCACCAGGGGCAGATGTTTTTTCTGCTGCTTGTATTTGACGCTGACTCGTGTTGCACCAATCACCTTAACAGGATCCCCTGTATAAGTTTCGAGCTTGATTTTGATGGGCTGCAGGCTGGGGGGCTTGCTGTCTTTCCCTGTTTCTCTGAATGTTGCTTCGTTCATGACTGTTAGGCAACATCCAGTGTCTATTTCAAAGTTCACCTTTTTTCCATCAATTTGCATATCCACAGTGTAGGGGTCTACTCTTCTTAAGTGTACCGCACTGCCACGCCCTAACTTGAACAGTTTTCTTTTGTGCCCTTGACTGCACTTGACACAGTTCAACATAAAAGAGTCATCTTCAGAGCTATCAGTTTTGTTGTTATTTGCTTTCTCGCCCACATTGTGAGTACTGTAGTGTGAACTCTGCTTTTTTTCTTTCTTTACATATGTCGATCCATACTTTTTCTGGTTCAGTTTAGTCTTGCTTTTACAAGCTCTAGCTATGTGTCCCATTTTACCACAAGCATGACATTTTTCTTGTTTGTACTTACAGTCTGCTGCTGTGTGCTTGGTTCCTTTGCAACGATAACACTCTTTATTTTCTGCTTTAAAGGTACGACTCTCCTGTTGTCCTCTAGCGAGACTGAAACATTTTGCTGACGCCCCTGAGGTCTGCAGATCCTGTGCATTTTTATTTGCAGTCTCCATGGCTACTGCAATTGACAGAGCCTTGTCAAAAGTGAGATCTATTTCTGACAAGAGACGTCTCTGAATTCGGTCATCCTTAATTCCGCAGACGATCCTATCTCTCAACATCTGTTGTAACGTGTTGCCATAGTTACAATCCTGTGCCAGGCGACGCAGCTCCGCTACATATTCCATGACGGTTTCATTCGGCTTGCGGGAGCGAGAGTCGAACTTATACCTTTGCACAATTTCACTGGGCTTCGGATCGAAGTGATTTTTCATCAGAAGCACCAGCTCTTGGAAGGTTTTGTCTTTGGGCTTGGCCGGGCTGAGAAGGTTTCGCATCAAGCTGTACGTCGCTGCTCCGACGACACTTATTAATATCGCTCTTTGTTTCTCTGCATCGTCGATCCCGTTAGCTGCGAAAAACTGCTCGAGTATTTCCGTGTACTCATCCCAAGTCTGATTCTTTGGATCGAACGCTACTAGCGTACCAATTGTAGCCATTTCCGCTTCGAGGTCACTGCCTTCTATTTCCAGCCGAAAACTTTTGCATTCTTTGAAAAGCTAGCCAAACCTGTAGCCGACTCCATCACTTTTTTTCTTCTCTTTTCTTTCAGTCCGATCGCCCAAACTCCTTCCCCCTAAACGTCCTCGTCGCCAAAAAGATGTTGCATCTTCAAAAAATAAAAATACAATAACTGAGCCTTACACCGGGGTATCGTTGCACTGGTTTACTGAACCTTACTTTCAGGGCATGTACAGAACATGAGCATCCATTTTCTACTGCCTCCTACAGGACTCACTCTTCTTCCACTTCCTTACACATTAATGTAACACAGAACTAATACTGCCTCTCCTGGCATTACCATTGTAACAACACATTCATTCTGTTTCTTTCAGAAGATTAACAGGAACTTAGGATGTAGGTATCTATGAATAATAACTATTATGTATACTCATATATTTATATAACCACTTATTTCTTGCGATACCACAAAAGCAGACTCTCTCGTAGAGCCAAATATGAGGTTGATATAGTAAAATATCCATGTGGGTTAATGTGTGCAGGGAAGATTTTAATGAGACCTTAAAATCAGGATCCCTGAACATAAAAGTAACTTAAGAAATAAAGATGAATTTTCATGAGTAACTAGATATTTATATTCAGCTTCATCATGTGTGTTCACCTCATTACTGGATTCATGCGCTACAAACTGAAAGCCTTAAAGATTTAAATGACTAATTCCAGTTGAGCAGCTTTTGTGAGATGAAGTCCTTTTAAAATCTGTCAGAATACAAGAAACTATCTCACTATGATATCCAGTATTATGTTATGATTGTGACCTGGCTCTTTGCCATCTTGAGTGAGAACCTTACGAGTGACCTCGTAAGGTAAGAAGTAGAGCCCATAGCAGGGGACGTCCCTCAGAGTGAGGGCCAGGCCTCCTCTGTACAGACCCCTGAGCCCCTCCTCCCTCACGATGACAGCGACGCAGTGCACGGGTCCGCGATATCGTGTTGATGTCGATTGACCCTGAAGACGCACCTTGACCAGGTCAATGGGTGCAGAAACCGACACCTGGAAACAGATTGCCCCAAAGATTAAAGTAGCGTAAAGCCGAGTCATGATCTGCAGTGTAAACAAATCTCAGTTATGAAACATGAGCTGGTTTTTAATTTCCTTAAATCTCTTATCTGGTTCTGAGCTGCAGTCAGTGAACACTCGGAGGCCCCCTTGTGGTCAGATGTAACATTGCATGAAGAAAACCTGAATTTCTGTGAAAGCAGTGATAATCCTGTTGTTTCAGCATTTACTTTGGCAAGAGCACCAGCTTTAATTGTTTAATACAGTTTTTGTCTATTTGTTTGTTTTTTCTTTTGTTCTCTGTGTAACAGAGTTAGAAAATAGCTTAATGAATTTCCACAAAATTGATGTGCTTTGTGAATAGTTGGAGCCACCTGGTGGTCAAATACCGCAACTGCAACTGTTTCAAATTAGCTGCACAGCGCATGCCTCAGCAAAGGAAAATACTCCCAAGCTGGTGGTAGGTGCTTGTGAGCGCCAAAGTCTGTCCTAATGCAGTCACACTGATGCAGTAATGGCTGATAAAGTACTTCAAACGGACTTGGTTGAGATTCTTCTGTAGGTATGTTTGTATCTCGTGGCTTGCAGCTAGAATGTTGGTGTGAGCAGTGATTTTTGCAACGTGTGTGGTCTCCTGCAGCTCTAACAGATGAAGCTTTGTGCATACACAGTTGCATGGCAGTGACATGTGCAACCACAGAACATCAGGTGATCTTACCTGCACCAGGCCTGAGAAGCAGCCAGCAGTGAAGACCTGTGCAGCAGAGGCCGGTTTGCCTCGACTGCGCTGAGACTTAGTGAGGTAACCTAAAGCATTACTGTAACAGCCAAAGACAACGGAGTTGGTGATGCCAGTGGTCAGCACAGGAAATGCCATGCCCTTAAAGAATCCATGGAGCTGATGTGATTAAAGCATAAAGGATCAGTGCTGTCTTATCCCAGTGGAGCATTACACTACTTCACGTCAGTATTTCTTGCAAAACAATGTAGGAAAAATGTGGTACCCACCCCTTCATGAGAGTATGTTTTAATCACACAGTGAAATATCCCTTTATACACAGACTGGGCTTGGAGACGTACCTACAAATGTAAGAAGAGATGTAAAATAAAAAATAAGAAACAATTTGTGCATTAAGTCATATTTATTGGTTTCAAAGTGTCATGCAACCTTCACAGTGTCTAACGGATGTCCTACTGCAATTCCCAGTGCACCTACAACAACCAACAACAACATTTTATTTCTCCACAATCAGACAATTACTGCTCTGTGTTACATTTTCTGTTGTTCTCTTAAAAACAGGATTTTCCTACCTGAAATGCTCCCAGCTAAAAATTCCAAGAGAGGCATGACTTTTACAGTTTCAAATCTGCAAGAAAACCACAGTGTTTCAAAACTCATAAAGATAAAGATGCAGCTTTACAGCTGTCATAACTGAAGCTGATTGGTCTGGCAGTCAAGGAGGTTAATGTGTGACTTATTTTAGAAATGGTACTCTGTGGGGGTTGCATCAAAATCAAAGTCCAAGGTGAAAATCCCACAACAATTTTTTTTCATGGCTCAGAAAATGGAATTTTCAGGAGTGATTGAGAACACAAACATATGGATTCTGGCCTGAGTTAAGGCAGTATGCTGACCCTTCTCACCCTGGACACAGTCTGTTTGACCTGCTCCCCTCAGGCAGGAGGCTCCGGTCCATTCGCACCAGAACCTCTCGCCACAAGAACAGTTTCTTCCCCTCTGCTGTTGGACACATGAACAATAACCACATGATTGTCCCCGCCACCAACACATGACCCTACGCTGTGTCACTGCATCATTTCATGTTTGGCACTGACCATCACCTGCACTCATGTATATATCTTTCTACGTAGCACTCATAATTCTTATTCTCATGTATATATCTCATGTATATCTCATGTATATCTCATGCACATATCTTTCTTTCTACATAGCACTTTAATTCTTATTGTCTGCACTGAAGCACCGCAGCAATTTCCTAATGTTGTAAACCTCAACATCTGGCAATAAACCCATTCTGATTCTGATTCTGATTTCACACACATTCCTCACAATCTATTATTATTTACGATCATCTGACAAACAAAAACATTTATTATGCTTCAGTAAATGAACATAAAAGATGGTTTTTAGGGTTGCCAAAACAGTAAATGGTAACCAAACCTTATAATTTAGCCAGGTTTAATCTTTGTGGAATGGTTAAAATACAATAGCGTGTTCAGGAGGACAGTTCGCTGTCCAGTTCTTTCTTCTTCTTCTTTTGCATGGTGTTTTTTAATATCCAGTTCTAGAAAAAAAAAAATAACAGCACCTTGCCTACCTTTAGAGCTGTAACATCCTACGAATAAATTTGTTCACAACTCATGTCATTCTTCGCTCTGCGGTCAGAGTATCCCATGGATACGGGTGCTCACACACACAAACTACACCCTTTTTGGCTCCTACCTCAAAGCAGGCACGTGCAGGGAGGGGGGGGGGCTAGAGAGGCTTGAGCACCCGCCCCTTTCCTGATGGGTGCCCAAGGTGCCCTTTTGATAGGGCAACTTTTTAAAAAAAATTATCAGTATTTTTTTTAATGTGTGTGTGCGTGCGGAGTCCTGTCTGTGCCCCTCAACAATAATATTTAACTATTAATCACAGTTTTGCTAAATAAAAGGATCTGGCTTGCATCAGTCACATGATCACATTTAACCAATGATCGCCCTTGACGGCAGAACGCGCTAGTTACGAGACGGGAACGAGCTCACAAAGAGCACGCGCATTTTTAGCGGTCCGGAGCTGTAGGAGAAACACAAGTTAACTCAGAGACACAGACTGATGCGACAAAACCAGTAAGTAGGTGTACAGCTTACACTGTAGTGTGTAGCACCCAGGAGTATTAGCTTATTACGTACACGTTGGTAAGCTGTCTTGTTGCAACTGATGAATTGAAACAAACGAGCGTGCTGTGTGTGCAACAGCGCGACAAACATTACCTGTCCTTTTATTAACTGCACAAGTAGTGCTGGTCATAGCTGCTGGCTACCTGTGTATGGCTGTCATGGGTCTGTAGCTCTGTCACCGTTTTAGGGAACATATTTAGTTTTAAAGTATTTAGAAACATATTTAGTTTTAAAGTAAGTTTCCGGGCTTTTCCTGCCTTTCTGGAGGGATTATTTTTCACTAAAAACGATCTAATATGCATGTCCACATAATTATGCATTATTATAATTATAATATATTAAAAAACACACGCTGTATTTTAAAGAACATACATTAAGAAGCAGATTATATTAGATTTATATTTTAAATAAGATAAGATAAGATAAGATAAGATAGAACTTTATTAATCCCTCGGGTGGGTTCCTCTGGGAAATTCGATTTCCAAAAAGCACAGCACCGACAGAAGTAAGACATAAGACAAAATTTGGATTTTACAGCAGTAAAATTATTGTATCTCTACAGTTTAAAAATGTAATAAGCTTTGCCCTGCACAGAGTGGATATTGAAACAAATGGAATCATCATAAATACACTTTAGAGTCAGACCTGTTACAGATTGTCAACTTTTCTTTATTATCAGGTGTGTTTCCAGAATCACTAAAAACTGCTGTAATCAAACCTATACTGAAAAAGGACAATCTTGACAAGACACAAATGAACAACTACAGGCCGATCTCAAATCTCCCGTTTTTAAGTAAGATCATTGAAAAAGCAGTTTCTCAACAGCTCAGTTACTTCTTAAAACAGAATAATTGCTACGATGCCTTCCAGTCAGGTTTTAGACAGAACCACAGCACTGAAACCGCTCTGACCAAAGTGTTTAATGACATATGTCTGAATACAGACAGTGGAAAAATGTCAGTCCTAGTTTTACTGGATCTCAGTGCAGCATTTGATACAGTTGACCACAACATATTACTCAAACGACTGGAGAACTGGACAGGTCTTTCAGGAACTGTACTAAACTGGTTCAAAACATACGTAGAAAACAGGAAATACTTTGTATCAATAGGTAACTTCACATCTGAGCAGACAAGTATCACATGTGGAGTTCCCCAAGGTTCCATCTTGGGACCCCTTCTGTTTAACATCTACATGCTCCCACTGGCACAGATTATAAACAACAACAAAATAAACTATCACAGCTATGCAGATGACACACAAATATATATATCACAATGTTACCAGGAGACCGAGGCCCTGTACAGGCTCTTGGTAAATGCATCGAGGAAATTAATGACTGGTTGTGCCACAATTTTCTCCAGCTAAACAAAAACAAAACTGAGGTAATAGTCTTTGGCGCCAAAGAAAAACGATTACAGGTCACCAGAGAACTTCAGTCTATACATCTAAAAACCACAAACCAGGCGAGAAATTTGGGTGTAGTGATGGATGAAGACCTAAACTTAGAAAAACACATTAAGACAAAAACATCAGCTTACTATCACCTCAAGAATATATCAAGGATAAAAGATCTGATGTCTCAACAGGACCTGGAAAAACTAGTCCATGCATTCATCTTTAGTAGGCTTGATTACTGTAACAGCATCTTTACAGGTCTACCTAAAAAATCAGTCAGACAACTACAGCTCATTCAGAACTCTGCTGCTCGAGTCCTCACTAAGACCAAAAAAGTGGACCACATCAGTCCAGCTCTGAGGTCCTTACACTGGCTGCCTGTCCGTCAGAGGATAGACTTTAAAGTTCTGATGCTGGTCTATAAAGCTCTGAATGGTTTAGGACCAAAATACATCAGTGTCCTCCTGACCCAGTATGAACCATCCAGATCCCTCAGGTCATCTGGATCCGGTCTTTTATCAGTTCCCAGAGTCAGAACCAGACACGGAGAAGCTGCATTCAGCTTTTATGCTCCTTATATCTGGAACAAACTCCCAGAAAGCCTCAGATCAGCTGAAACACTCAGTTTATTTAAATCCAGGTTGAAGACTCACCTGTTCTCAGCTGCATTTGAATAAAGCACCAAATCCACACTTTAAGCTTAAATTTCAAAACTTACATTTAACTACTGATTTTATCTACTGTTCTGATTTTATCTGTTTTGATTTTATATACTGTTGTTTGTTTGTTTGTTTGTTTGTTAATTAGTTAGTTAGTTTATTTGCTTGTTTTAATCAATTTTAAATCATGCTTTTTATTTGTTCTTGTTTCTAATGTCTCTGTAAAGCACTTTGAATCACCTTGTTGTTGAATTGTGCTATACAAATAAACTTGCCTTGCCTTGCCTTGCCATTATTTCATATTTATTACTTCCCCCTCCTCATTGCTTTATTATTGTAGCTCATAGTATATACAGTATTCTGAAGAAGGTCTAAAATGTCACTGTGTGTGTGTGCATGTGTGTGTTTTATGTATATGGATTTTTTTAAATTATTACTCATGATATAACATTGTCCAGACATGGCTGGTAAGGACATGAGGAGGAAACAGTAGGAGCTGTGTGAGGCAGTGCTATAACATTTTTCTGTCATCATTTTATTATAGATTAAGTGCAAGAGTTGTTAGGTGTGGATAATTAGATTATAGTTTATTGCAATAACAAGTTGTGCCTTGTTCTCAGATAGACAGCAAGTGGAGAGTGATATATGAAATGATGGGATGGAAGGAAGAAGAGAAGCAAAGAGTGATTCACAGGCAGAGCCTAAATTATTTCTCACAGTTTTTTGTTGCCTTATGGTTCCAAGCGCTGTCACCAATCTTTGCATTTTGTTATTATCTCATGACACTTGTTTAATCAGCTACCATCTCTCCTATGGACTTTTTAATGTCTACAGTCTCAGATCAACACAGCCCTGCCCTTCCCATATTAGATTCTTGATGAATGTGTGTTGTTGTTATTCAACCTGGTTCAATGTGCCCCTTTTTAACTTTGAGCACCCGCCCCTTTAAACCTCTCTGCACGGCCCTGCCTCAAAGCAAACTGCACTGTCCATCTTACGTGTTGCGCAATAATGTTTAACACTTAGTATTTACTGTTATGTTCCCATAGATCATCATGATGTTGTTTATCCCTTGTTAAATGCTTGTTTTCTTTTTTCTTTCTCAACAGGTGATCCAGGTGATTGATATATGTATTTTTGTCTGCTTATTTTGTTGGTTTTTGTTTTTTGCCCTTTATCCCCGTCCCTCTTCTCCGCTGTTTTTTCCTCTTTCTTTCTCCCTTTTCTTTTCCTCATTCAAGTCTGTCCCGTATCTAGCAAGTGAAAATAAAAAATAAAATAAACAATAAAAGGTGAATCAAATAGACCATTACGGCAAGGCTGGGATCGTCCATTTGGTAAAGTAAATCCGTTGGGCATCTTTCTTCGCCTTTAGACAATAATTCTGATGGCAAAAGAGCCAAACGGGACAGGCAAAAAAAAAAAAGAGAGAGTGAAGAGGACTTTTGATGTAAGTTAGCATTTGAATTCAAACAACCAAAAAATGTAAAAAGAAAAAGAATAAGCGTAATAAACAGATTGTTGTGATTGTCTAAATAACCAGGTATAACATTAGTCACCCTTAGTTAGGCTGCATATGATTTACTGTTTTAATTCAATATGTTTCATGCGTAATTGGTATGTTTTCATATTTATGAGCAATGGGACACCTCGGGATGGCATAACCTTGCCGAGGAGACAGAATACCTGCATTCGGCAAGACTGATAATTAAGGATATTTTCATTCATGAAGCTGTCATAGCAAGTA